AAAAGCACATCAAATAAATAACAAGGGATTATAAATAAGTCGTGGACCTTTAAGGATCCTTAGGAGATGATCTTCTAAAGCCCATTTACATGTGAACCTTAGATTAAATAATTTGCCTATTATCACACATCCAATAAGTGACCAAAGAGAAATAAAACTAGATCTGCCACCTTTGTAGTACAGGCTTTTATCTCTTTTAAAATTTTTTTCAATTAAAAACATTTATCTCCTTTCTCTCCCACCTGCCTCCCTGCACTGAAAATAAAAACAAAACCTTTATAACAAATATGCATACTGAAACAAAACAAATTCCAACATTTGACCAGGTTCAAAAATGTCTTTCATTCTGCATCTTGAATTCATCGCTTCTCTGTCAGGAGGTGAAAGGCATTCTTCATCATCAGTCCTCTGGAATTATGGTTGGTCATTTTGATCAGTATTCTTAAATCTTTCAAAGCTATTCGGTTATTTTGTGTTTGTTTTCCTTTAGGACACCACAGAAAAACAAAAATTTAAAGAACATCCTCATTCTTTCTTATAAAGTGTTCAACCACTGAAAATGGCCCCAGAAATTGAAGGGGTTCCTCATTAATTAGGGAATGACTGAACAAGTTGTGGTATATTTTTGTGATGGAATATTATTATGCTATAAGAAATGATGAGCAGGATTGTTTAAAAAACCTGGAAGACTTATATGAACTGATGCAAAGTGAAGTAAGCAGAACCAGGAGAACATCATACACAGTGACAGCAATATTGTAGGATGATCAATTTTGAATGGCTTAGCTATTCTCAGCAATACAATGATAAAAAAAAAACAATTCCAAAGGACTTATGATGAAAAATGCTATCCACATCCAGAGAAAGAACTAAGGGAATCTGAATGCAGATCAAAGCATACTTTTTTTTTTTACTTTCTTGATTTTTCTTGTATTTATTTATTTTTTATCTGTATTCTCTTTTGTAACATGGCTAAAATGAAATTGTTTTGCACTACTGTACACATATAATGTATATCAAAGTGTTTGCCTTCTCAAGGAGGGGGGAGTGCAGGCAAGGAGGGAATTTGGAACTCAAAAATTATTTTAAAAAATGTTAAAAGTCATTTTTAATTTTAATTGAAAAAATAAAATAAAAACATTCTTTTAAAAAATTACATACAGGAAAAAAAGAAAGAAAAATGTCCTTAGAGTCTATACATAGTGTTATATGGAGAAAAGATAGAGCTTGTAAGGAGAAATTAGCTGGGGAAGAAGGAACTGTACATAGCTAATAGTCTGAATGATGTAACTAGCTTCTCTGTGTATTTCAATCTAGAAATGGAGTAGTCCTATGTGCCCATCTCTCTAGTATATACTTCATGATTCAGTATCATATATATACAATATTGAGTCTCTATGTAAAAATAATGATTTTTTTCTCAGTTCAGATGTTATCCAGAGTTGTCATACCAACAGGTTTTACTGAGTACATTTACTGAATAGTGTCTGTGTGTAGTGATAGAGTGCCCCCACCCACCCACCTCCAATCTACCCTTCACTCAGCTGTCAAAAAGATCTTCTTAAAATGCAGATATGACCATATCACCCCCTACACACTCACACACACACACACACACACACACACACACACACACACACCCCTCCAGTGGTTCCCTGTTACCTCCAGGATCAAGTACATAATTCTCTGACATTCAAAACCCTGCATAATCTGCCCTGTCACCACTTTTCCTGTCTTCTTATACCTTACATCCCCTGCCTCCGTCTACCCTACCACCCCATGGACACTGAGATTCAATGACATTGTCTTCCTTGCTGTTCTTAAAACAAAATACCCAATTCTGGATATTTTCATTGGCTGTCCACCATGTTTGGAATGCTTTTCTTCCTCATTTCTGCATCCTGGCTTCCCTGGTTCCCTGGCTTCCTTCTATGGGTAGCCTTTCCTGATACCCCATAGATCTAGTGCCTTTCTTCTTTTAATGGTTTTTACTTTATCTTGTATATAGCTTGTTTATACATAATTGTTTGCATGTTGCCTTGTCCATTATATGGCCAGCTCCTTAAAATCATTTTCTTTGTATCTTCAGTGTTTATCATAGTGCCTGGCACATATATGCCAGTACTGCTATTAGTTTATACCAATTGTGCTTGCATTAAAAATATGAAACAACAGTAATAATAACAAAGTAGCCAGGAAATCTGGGTTCTAGTACTCATTCTAGTACTGATCTACATAGGGGAAGTGACCTGGGGAAATAATTTTCCTTCTCAAGGCCTCATTTTCCTCAGCTGCACAATGAAGGTGTTGAAGATCCTTAATAAATGCTTTATTGACTGACTTGACTTGGAGTCCAAAAGACCTGGGTTCAAATCCTGCCTCTGACACTAACTATATAACCATAGGTCAGTCATTTTACCTCTCTGAGGCTTGGGTTCCTCATTTGTAATGTGGGGTTAGTAATACCTATATCACCTATTTGACAGGGTCATTGTGAGGCTCAAATGAAATAATGTGTGTGAAGTTAGCATCAGTAGCATTAATAAACATAGTATATTGTTGGAATAAGGATCTTTCATTTATATGACATCAGCTTGTAAACTGATGCTAGTCCTTTATTTGATGCAGCTGGCATCACTGAGATGGCCAGTTTGTTTCTAAGGAATGCCATTCTCTACATCCATTTCAACTCCTCTGCCAGAGCAACATGCTTTTTTTTTTTAGCGTAGTTTACCATGATATTCATACAAAATGGGTTGGTTTTATAATTATGACAGTGCTTATTCTTATAGTGCTTTAAGGTTTTCAAAATGAACAACCCAATGAGGTAGGTAATGTTGAGTAGTATTTTCTTCTCCATTTTTCAGATGTGGAAAGTGAGGCTCAGATTGTTCATACTGCTAGCAGATGTTTCATTTGCACTTGGCATTCTCACTCCCAGTCCAGAGGTTTTCCCACTATACCACAACATCTATTAAGTTCTGCATTTACAGACTCTAGGAATGCTAATGATAAAATGACTTTGGAAATTACTGCTCCAACACCTCCATTTTGCAGCTCAGAAAACTAAGCCTTGAAAAGGCAAGTGACTTTCCCCAGATCATTGCCCTTATATAGATCAGCAATAGAACCAAGACCAAACCCCAGATCTCTTGGCTGCTATTATTATTGTTGCTGCTTTATATTTTTTTTAATGCAAGTACATTTGTTATAAACTTACAGCAGTACTGGCTTTATTGGCAAAGACATTAGGAGAAATTTTCTGGTGACATGTTAATTGTGTAATAAAAATGCCATCCCAATGGTCACCAAGGCATGCAAGAAACATTCAGCTAGAGTGAGCAAAACTATATCCATACTAATAACTGTATTTTCTTTGAAGGGCTTCCATTTCTCTGTTTGCTCTTAATTACTCTATATAATCATTTGATTTTTATATTTAGAAAAGATTTTCTTCATTTTTAAAAAGTCTTTACAGAACAAGGTAGCAATGAGCTCTATTACTTTATTAGTTTTACCAGATATTAGTCTCCACCAAAGTCCACATTAGGTACCTCATTATGAGATTTAATGTTCATATGAAGATGATGCAGTGGAACATAAGCTTGAGTAAGACTTCCAGACTGGGAAGGTTCAAATGATGATCCTGGTGATTCACTGGGAGTCCGTCACTTAATTACCAACCTAACCAGCCAGGCAATCATCATGGTACATTGGGAAGAGCATTGCTCTTGGTGTCAGAGGACCTTGATCAGATCTTGCTTTTGCCACTTATAGCCTGTATGACCTTGGGCAAGTTACTTTACCTTCTAGGGCCCCAGTTTCCTTATATGTGAAACCAAGGGGTTGAACTAGATGGCCTCTGAGGTCTCTTCCATCTCTGGATCTATGATCTTAAATAGCAAGATGCTCAGAAAAGAGAGTACACAGTGATGAGTTTGGACCTGAAACTCCCGAGGAGCTTTCATTGGTGGATAAAGAGCCCACACAATATGAAACCACCTTTCATGAATCAACTGGGAGGATGTCTGGCTGGTCTTCCATGTAGAATTTCTTAGTCTAGAATCCTGAATTAATGTTAACTCATAGTGGCTATTTTCAAAACAATTCTTAACTTTACCTTTATGGTGCTATGTTATCAATCCACTTATCAACCTGAACTTAAGATATTATCATTGGTCTATGTAAGCAGCAATATATGGTCTTGCTATACCAATCCAAGTAGCCTGGGCTATTAAACCATCCATGAGCCTATCACTTGCTTTGCCAGCTGTCCATACATCTATAGAGATGTACTCCATCATCAGGGGCATTTTTTCATTATTATATAGTTAGAGTAACTTAGGTAGAATTCAATATATTATGAATCTCCCCAACTTTATTATTGGGATATATGATGGATATTTTCCCTGCCATAATCTTCACTGAAAGTTCCTAAAATGGAATTATTGGTCAAAGTACACAAATGTTTTCTTTCCTACTGGAAAATATTTCATTATAGGAGAATAGACAAAGAGACCAATGCCCTAGAGTAAATCAGTCAAAGAGCAGCATTCTTTCCATTAAACGAAACCTGCCTGTTATGTCACTAAGAGCCCTCAATTTCAAGAACCTTGTTATGCATTCTCATATTGATTCTTGCAAGTCATTTAACTCTTTGACCTCCATTCCTATGGCTTAAGTTAAGACAGCACTTTGTCCTCTGCCCATCTTGTCTTGGCTATACAAATGAACAAAATAATTCCTTAGTTGTTAGTACTTGTGAATTTCTCTGTAATATGTCAATTAATAAATCATCTGTCATCTGTCACCTCATCATGTTTCATTTAATTCAATTTTTCAAGTATTTGGCATCCCACTTAAATTATAAGCTTCTTTAGAATGTGACTCCTACTTCTCTGTAACCTTTCAGCTCTTAGCTCAACATCTCACCCATAGAAGGTACTCAATATATAGATATTTATTTCCTAATTTATTTTGCTGGTGCTTTTTTTTTTCAGATGGACCCCCATGAAAACATCTTATTGAGCACCCTCGAAATAAAAAATGAAATGGCCACCTCTGAGGCAGTAATGGGACTGGGAGACCCAAGAAGCACCATGTTGGCCTATGACGCTTCAAGTATCCAATACCGGAAAGCTGGTTTGCCCAGACACAGCTTTGGCCGCAATGCCCTGGAGCGACACGTGGCACAAAAGAAGAGCCGACTACGGAGGCGTGCCTCCCAGCTGAAAATCACCATCCCCGACTTGACTGATGTAAATGCCATAGATCGATGGTCACGTATATTCTTTCCTGTTGTTTTTTCCTTCTTCAATATTGTCTATTGGCTTTATTATGTGAACTAAAAAGTAGCATCTCATGGGAACAAAAGACTGGATTTCTCTTCAAACTGGTTGTACAGCCAAAAGTGGGACTTGGAAAAAATCTTTTCAGGAAAAAAAATTATTTTAAAACACCTTAGTTGCTGGCCTATTCTATGGTTCATTTCATACCATTTGGATTGCTTCTGCTAAACACTTCTTTATGCTACAATCTATGTATTTTTTTTCCCAGTTAAAATAGAAGTGTATTTGGTGCGTGATGGCCAAATTCGGTTCTGACATGCCGTTTCCATTTTATATGCTTAGGATTCACTCAACCTATACAAGTGGGAAAGTATTGAGGAAATAGTCTTAATGAGGTGTAATAGCAATGTGAATCATTTCCTTGTGTAATGGGCATGTCTAACTGTTCCACAGCTTGATTTCTAAAGGAAAGAAATATGTCAAATTGATATTATGCTTAGAGATCATTCACAGTTCGCAGAGAATACTCTCAACACAAGTTGAAAATAGTACTAAAGATCATAAAGTGATGTTAGAGTGGTAATGATGATGATGATGGTGATGATGATGATGATAATGATGACAAGTCACTATTTCCCACCACCTTGCAAAGGTTTTGGTTAGTTCACTAATAAAAAATTGGCATTTGACATGCAGTGCCACCCTTGCAAGTAATAAGAAGTCAGGGAAACTAAGGTTGCCTTCTCTAGCTCCATTAAATGTTGGCAAAGTACTACAGTTAGAAAACCCTGTGCTAAGAAAAAGGAGACTGGTGGTGGTAGTTGCTATTGTTTTAAGTGTGATGGGGGGAGCTGGAGAGGTTGGGCATTTCATAGGAAAACTATTTCACAGTTCCCTACAGCATTTGTTTGTACCCTGCCTTTTATGTAAAAGGAGTGGGTTAGTCTTCAGAGAATAGCAGAAAAACTAGAGAAAGATTTTTAAAGATATAAAAGATTTTTTAAAAAATATATAAGCAGCCAAGCATGTCTCTTATCAGCTCTATGCACCATCAGGGTACATATGAACAAAGGGTAGTGACCAATGATGAACTGGGCAGGATTTGTATCCAACTTCATAAGTTTAGGTGCATTGTATCTATTGATACTTTGATGTGCAAACTATTCAGAAGACAGAAAAGAATGAGTAAGATTATGGGAATCAATAGTACCTGAGATGTTTGACAAAGAATTTGGCGTGAACCTTGCTTGTATCATGGCGTTCAGTTGACAAACAGGGTGGATCCCCCCCCCAACCAATGCTTATTACTTCTGTGGAATTTACCACAATATGTTTCCTGAATTGAATGGGATGCTCTTAAATGAAGTTCATTGCTTTAGAAAGGTGAAGGGTCCTCTCATGTCTTTGTTGCCTCTGAAATCTGATCACTGCTTCTTTTGAAAAATTAAAGCTTTATATTAGTAAATAAGTATTGGGGGATTCAGTAAATTGATTTCCTCTTACATGTAATGAAGTTCACTTTCATATTTTCCGCAGAAGTAGTAAAAGAATTAGATGTAGTTTTTGATTGTTTTTAAAAAAGAATACTCTTTTTGCATGGAGAAATCTGTTAACTTAAGAAAAAATGGAGACTAGAAAAAAGATAACAGCAGAATTTCCTTGGCATGCTCAGTTGTAAAGGTCTCTCTTTATTAAGTAAACCACATTGTGTTGCACTGACTGTATCTCTAAATGAAGTCATTGTATTTGAAACATCATTTGGAAATGGAAGGGCTGATATTTGGGCCATCTTACAGGAAACAAATTGATTTTACAGAGCTTTGTTGATTGAATGACTTCAGAAGTTTGGTTCTTCCTCTTTTTTTTTTTCCTAAGGGAGTGCTACTTTTTTTTTTTTTTTTTATGAAGCGGCATTGTGTTTAAGAGTACAGTCAGAATTTGAAGTGAAAGGTTCTATGGCCAGGGTTCACCAGTAGATTGCATGAGTTAGCTCCTATTTGTCCTTTTATTCATGGCTGATTTCTGACATTAGCTGGAAATGGTGCTTTATCACATAGACATCTTATTCTGAATTTGAGACACCAGATTGTCTCTATTAGCAGAAGGTGGCATGCTATCATATCTGCCTTCTGAGTATATGGCTACAGACAGGCCAGAGTTTGAGACATTTCTTTGCCAATCTCATTCTTGTATTTGTTGAGTCTCACTCTGGTGACAACTCTGTGGAAGAAATGGTCAGGTTCCTACGCATGGGTTCATAATAGAGAGAATACTCAAGGTAACCCCAAGGTTTCTTTTCCCCCAAAATGATTTCTTCTTATTCATCACCTAAATAATTTTTCCTGCTTCTGCTATCAATTAAATATGTAATGGAAAGAGTATTTCAATACCTCAAATACACAAATGAAAGAAACAAATAGGCTGAATTCTGACAGGATGATTCTAGGGAAAAGCCAAAGTCTGAGTATGTAAGCAGGGCTGCTACCTGCCATTACCATAAAAGCCATAATAATCCTCAATATTGCCATGTTATGGGTGCAATAAAATTCCGAGTGTGGAAGGAACTGAGCAGACAGACCTAGAACAAAGCAAACAAAAACAAGCTACTCTCTGCCAATTGGACCTTTGTACAAAGTTATTTCTAAAGGAAATGAAGTAGGAGATTCCATTTATGCTTATAGTTGTGTTAGGATAAAGACATTAAGAAAAGGAGTAATAAGGAGATCTTATAATGGAAAATATAGGGTTGCCCACGAGAGTGAATCTTATGTTAGCTTCCAGCTACCACTGTCTCGGATCACATGAGAGCAACTGACTCTTGTCCTCAGTTGTTTGATTGGGATTTTATTCTCTGATCTGGCTAAGGAGAGAGTACCTGAGAGTGATTTAATGCTGCGCTTAAGAATCAGAATGAGCCTGGGTATTCTGCTTTCTTATGATTAAGGTTGAAGACTTGTAATCTGTGCAAAGGCAATGTTGATATTATATGACTATTAGTAAACATATTTCCTTTTGAGTATAAAACAGCCAGACAGCCAGCAATTAAGGTGTTTTTCATCTTTATGAAATTCATGGGCAAATTCTGACTCTAAAATGGCAAAGTTTTAACAAAATCTTGAATCTCAATCTGTAAATATCTCTTGTACATGACTGCTAGCAAATATGAAATGCATTTTCAGAATTGAAAACCAGTGCAACATATTTCTGTGTTTGCATAAGGAATGTTACTTTTCTTTCTTCTTTACTCTAATAACTGGGAGAAAAAAAAACTCCAATGTCATTTAGGTGTTCTCTATTCTCTTCTCATTCTTCTAACAATCAATCTAAAATGAAAAGTAGCTGAAAGATCTCTCTGAGAGATTTTACATTCTAGTTTAAAAGCTTAAGGAACACACCCACATGTGCGCATGTGCGCACACACACACGCAAACACATGCACATACAAACTGTCAGCTAAAAAAAGCACAATGCCTAGTGAAAGTGAAGGTGGATTTGTAACTGGGAAATGAACCAATTAATTTTAGGCCAGATCCACATTTTGATGAAAAATCCAACAATATTCATTTTGAGTAAGTAATTGAGTTTCTAGTACTTAAATTAACACAGAACTCAACAGAAAAGAAAGCCAAACTTACAACATATCCATGTGTATATATATATATATATGTATATATAGGTCAGTATAAACATACATACATATATATGCATTTATATGTTGGACAGCAAAAGGAATAAGCTAATATGTTTTGTTTCTATCACTTAAACCAATATAAGAATATTTTTTACTTTGGGAAAAAATCAATATATTAAAATAACCAACTATACAGGGTAACTGGGCATTTCTATATCAACCAATCAATGCATACAATTCTTACCAAACATTGCACAATTTGACTCTATAATAGTACTGTACTTCAACATCTGAAATTAAATTACATTAAATTCTACTGTTTGCCTTTTCTCTCTCTGTGTCTCTCTCTGTCTCTGTCTCTCTCTCTGTCTCTGTCTCTCTCTCTCTCTCTCTTTCTTTCTCTCTCTCTCTCTTTCTCTCTCCTCTCTTAAAAAAATTGTCCACTAGCAATTAAAAAAATTAAACAAACATGCCCTAGGGAAACCAAAGGGAAAGTTATGCTACCAAATCTTTCTAGGAAAACAAACTGATGTGTTGGCCAGGGTAAACTATTCTTAAAAATAGTGAGCATAACCATTTTGCTATGTATATACAGAACATGTAATGTGTGCAATTATAAGTCCAGCTGAACATTTGTAAATATCATCAGATTTCTTAAACATTTTTAACTTCTAATTTGTACTTTATGGTAAGGCAAAAATGCTGATTCTCTCCTATGGTTTAGGTGAACTGTGTCCTAAAACCCTGTAAATAATGAAGCTGTAAATGAGCGGTCAGTAGATTCAGTAATTGTTTAGTGATTTTCTTTTGTCATTTTATTAAGTACTATTATTGCAATGCCCAAACAGAGTAATTTAAACACCCTTTTTCATGGACAGTTCAGGATTACAGATAATAGAATCTCAACTTATTTTTGAATTTTTTTAAAGTCAGTGGGAATTGTTATAGTGTTAAAAGTGATGTAACAATAGAATGAGTACAGCTGTAACAGGAAGCAGGAAGTAGTAAAAATCAAAATTAGCAAAAGGTCTTTTTTTTCTCCCCAGCAGAGGTCAAAGAACAGACAAGGTTGTAGCTAAGCACTAAGTTCTGAGAGAAAGTGAAAGTCGTATTGATCTTACTACAGAGAACAGTGCTTGTTCCAGAAATCTATGATAAAAGTAAATTCTGGTAGATTTTTTTTTTTAAGAAGACTCTCCTTCTATAGATCCTCAAAACCAAAGATTCCAGAATTGTGGGAAATAAGGGGAAAGCTAACCAGTTACTGCTTAACACCAAAGGCAAAGCTTTTTAAAATGCACTAGGAACTTTGTTTAAAATGATAAAGAATCAATGGCATAGTAATTCAGAAACTGTCCTTTTATACTTTATTGAAAAACAAAATATTGAAAAAAGAGAAGAACAGCAACATTCTGAAATATTTATCAGCTATGTGGAGATTTAAATAGAATATCTCTCCAGATATATGCAACATTATGGTAACAGGCATCTTTTTTTTTTCTGAAGTGCTTTAAGGAATGAGGGGGGAAAAATAAACTGATGGAAAACACTGTCTTGTTTTCACTTTTTAGTCATTCTCCTTGTCATGTTTACCTTCTCAGATTCGCTCCCAGTCTCTGTGTCACCAATGTTTGGAGGGCAGTCGACCTATCCCATATGTCTGTTATCTCTCCTGAGTTCCAGATGCCCCTATTTCTCTTTAGTCAGTTCTGTATTTTGAGTTTACATTTGAGCTTACCTTTAATATGATGAGATGAATTTTAACAAAATTGCCTATGATTTAAATGTCTTAATTTTTTTTCCTTTGTATGGGTGTTTAAATGGTTCTGTTATTGATGTCTCTGCATAATTCTGATGTCTTTTTTTTTACTTAGTACTCTGCTTCACAATGTAGTCATGATCAGCCTTACTAATTACCTTGTAGCCTTTCTTATATGCACATAATGCACATTTTTCAACAGCTAGAAAATGCAAAATACTAGCAGATATCATTGCATCAGATTTTCATGTTTTTCTCAAAAGAACTGCTAACCTCTGGGATAAGTGAGGTCATAAAACAAAATGATGGTTGTAAATGAGTAGAACATAAAAGATATTTTCTTGAATTTAAACTTATCACAGCCAGTCTTAGCATGTAAATATATAATAATGTTGGCTAGTGTGTAATTCTTGAACTAAAAATATAAATAAAGAAACCTTAAAAGGATTTGCTTAGTGTTTCATTGTGTTGTGAGATTGTAGAATAGTGATATCTGAAGTGTTGTTTGGTTGGGGAAGGGGGAAGAGAGAAGGGGAGGGAAGGAGTATCTATCACTTGAACTAGAGTAGTACAAATCCACAGAATGTTAGAATTGGAAGGAACCTGAAAACCCTACCCTCATACACATTTTACAGATGGACAGACTGAGACCCAGTGTGGGAAATAATCTATTTGCCCAAGGTAACACAGTGAGTTAGTTACAATGCCATGATTTAAGCCTATATTTTTTGATTATCAGTACAGTTTTCTTATCACTGTAACAATATATATTGAAATATCCTGCTAACTTTTTTTGAATATTTTATTTTTCCCAATTACATATTAAAAACAATTTTAACTTTCATTTTTTAAAATTCTGAGTTCTAAATTCTCTCCCTCACTCTCTCCTCCCCCCTCCCTGAGAAGGTAAACAATTTGATACAGGTTATACATGTGCAATCATGCAAAACATATTTCCATATTAATCATGTTATTAAAGAAAACACAGAACAAAAAAAAACACAAAAAATAAAATGAAAAATAGCATGCTTTGGACTGCATTCAGACTCCATCAGTTCTTTCTCTGGAAGTGGACAGCATTTTTCATTGTGGGTCCTTTGG